CAACCAAAGAAGAGGAAATACGAGAAATAAGAAAGAGGGAAAAAGAGGAAAGAAGAAAGAAGAAGGGAAGAAGAAAGGGGAAATCAAAGACCAACGGTTAGTAAAATTATGGGAAATTTTGTAAAAACTCCGTCGAGTTTTGTGCGATCTCGGTCGAGTTTTTTAAGAATAGATGTGTCCATTTTTTTCGTATACAACAGGGGCAATTTCGTCAAACCACCTTCTCTGACGTGTCAGAAAAAGAGAAATTGGGTGAAAAATCTGAATTTGGGTCATTTGAGCAAACCTAAAACATTTTTAGGTCAAATCGGTCAAATTCCCCTCAAAAGTCACATTAGAACTGAAATTTCTTAATTGCTGTGTTTTCCTTTATTTAAATAATAATGAAAAAGGATAAGTACAATGGGTCTTGGTGGCTAGTTTTTGATATTGTTTTTATTAAAAAAAAATCCCCAACCTCCGAAATCTTAATCGTTTCGTGCCTCATGGAGACAGGTAGCATAAACCATAAATATTGTGGTGGTCAATTTAATATTGTGAAAATCCTTCCTTCCGCCTTGTTATTTTTTGATATTTTTCTTTGTTGCTATTTTTAGCTCGGGTATGTTTTTGACACTCTTTGTAATCAAAGAGGGAAGAAGAGAAATTGTGGAGAAGATGAAGAGAGAGAATAATGGAGAGAAAAATAAGGTTTGGACTAATCAAGAGCAAATACATAATTTTTGTAAAGACCCAGATTTCTGACATGTTCCATGAGGTAACGGCCCTATAATGCTAACTGAACCCTCCCATTTAAAGTGACGAAAAAAGTAATGTTCTCCCAATGCAACATACAAAATGGAGGTACACAATAAAAGAATATCCAGGAGATAATACCCGCCTCAGTGGTCAGGAATCCAATCAAGAATATAATCATTTTGTCTCGTAATACCAAACACGTCTGTAATTCGAATAGTAAAAACAAATACCCATAAAGCAATAAGAGAAAGTGTTCTTGGCGTTAGCCCAATGTCTAATTCCCCTTTTTATTTCATAGTAGTGAGATTTTAACGATGTCCGCATTGCACAACATTATTCCCTAGCCTAACCGACACAGCTAGTGATCCCGCCTCAGTCAGACCTCTTCCACGTCATCACCACGGTTGGCCCGGTTCACACCTGAAACAATAAGGTAGATGGGGGGTGAGTACATAAATACTCCGTAAGTAGCCCACCCTAACTAAACACCACAACATGCTCGTAATCACAACCACATCAAAAGAACAATAGCAAAACAAACAGATAGGCAGCACGGGATAATAATAATGGATTAACAATTACATACAAGCAACCCAACACCTAGACTTCCGAGACCCAACCACACGACCCACTAGCATTGCCCATACTTGAACTAACACTCACTCCCACACTATGTTAGTACTCCAAGTCTAACTTTTCGAGGCTTAACGGCTCTTGACATTTATTCCCAAGATACCGACCTCCCTCTACAACGCTTGGTGTTCGACCCTGCCATTTATCCCAAAGGTCTACAACTGTTACCCTTAAGCACCCATTCACGTTAGTCCTCCGAGTCTAACTCCTAGAGTCGTTTTGGCCCTTGACATTTATTCCCAAGGCACCAATACTTCTCTTCAACAACTTTGAGGTTCGACCTTGCCATTTATTCCCAAGGTCTAGAACTGTGCACCAGTCCTCGACATTTATTCCCAAGGTACCGATGACTACCCGGCGTATTGGTTCTTGACATTTATTCCCAAGACCCCAATACTCCTCCATAGAAACCTGATGTTCGGCCTTGCCATTTATTCCCAAGGCACCCACTCAAGCTTTGAATGACCATACGACTAGTAAGCATTTTCAGTTCAGACACCCCACAGATTAACGAACCACTAACCCGACCCATCGCTCGTGACAGATCCCACTAATCTTCCAAAGATAACCTATAAATAAGTCTTCCACATTTCAATTCGCAGCTCAATTTGTACCAACATGCTTTCATTCGTACCAAACAACACACTAACTCAGCAGCTTCCAATAAAATAATATAAAAACTATATGACAGGCTATCAACATATGCATTTCATCTCCGACACGTTTACAACTTCATGGTTTAGCTACTTCCAACTACAATAATCAGGACCGACCAAACACAACCAACAACAAGAAATTATGCATTCTCATAATGACTAGCAACGAATCAA